TGTTGGTGATGATGGTGTTGGTGATGATGGTGATGATGGTGTTGGTGATGATGGTGTTGGTGATGATGGTGATGATGGTGATGATGGTGATGATGGTGATGATGGTGTTGGTGATGATGGTGTTGGTGATGATGGTGTTGGTGATGATGGTGTTGGTGATGATGGTGTTGGTGATGATGGTGTTGGTGGTGATGGTGTTGGTGATGATGGTAGTGACGATGGTAGTGGTGATGGTAGTGACGATGGTAGTGGTGATGATGATGGTAGTGGCAATAGTAGTGATGTGGTAATGGAGTGAAGATGGTGGTGATAGCAGTGATGATGATGGTGTTAGGGGTGATTTTGATGATAATGATCGACATATCAGGTTGAGGCAGTGATGAGGATGGGTGGTGGATGTGGCAGTGACGTTGGTATGTGATTATGGTGGGTGATGGTGGCGGTCATAATAATGATTTTAAATGTTGATAATACTGGTAAATGATGATGGTCATGATGGTGGTGTTGAATATGGTGATGATGATACAAGTGATAATGGCGACCAGCAAGTCAGGCAGTAAGGAATAACTAAAACACTAACCTATAGTTTTAAAAGTGTCCTCTACTTCCCCTCGTCTCTTAAGTTTTGTGTCCTTCTTTGGTGATGGAGGTCGCTCTGCTTCACCTTTCTTTCCCTTCTTCTTTGGAGATTTAGATCTCTTTCCTGGACTCTCTGCTCTCTTATCTCCCTTCTTTCCACTTGCTGATTTTGCCTTTTCCTATGTTGGGAAAATTTCTGGCAATTACTTAATATTTAAAGGATTGTCTTTTTGTTTTGTTAGGTGGTGGTTATAGTGGGATGCGACACTTTCAGGGGTGTGCATTTCAGAACTTCGACTAACAGAATTAATATACAACCACAAAAAAATGCCAAGCCATGAAACTGAAATCACCTTCTTTGCTTCCTCAAGTCTCTCAATGTCCTTGGTTTTCAACAGCAGCAGTTTAAACTTGAGAAGTTTTGCAAGTAAGCTGGGTGGAATGTCCTCTCCTTGGTCTATGAATGGTTTCACTTGTTCACAGATTTCTACAAATTCTGGCAGTTTTACTGCTGGCTTCCCTTTACCTCCGCCACTTCCTATTGCCTTTGCAAAGTCTTTCACCTAAACCATAATATGTTATTTTCATTCACACCAGTCTCAACTACACTATTTACCATATATTTTTACACCTTGACCTTACCATACCACACAAAATACCATACATCATACCAACTTCCTACCAAATTCCTTTACATCTTAAACATACCTCTTTTAAGAGTTGTTCTTTTGAAATGATACTGAACAACTTTCTTAAGCCAGTGGAAATTACTTCAGATGAAATGTTGATCAAAACATTGTCTTCAGGTTTGTTTGATATGAGAAAAAACACGCATGTTTTCCATGCATCCTTTTGAAAATAAATTTTAAAATGTACATAAATAGAACTATTGAAAGTTTATACAGTAAGAACTATTATTACGCCAAACATTACTTTCTTGTACAAAATTATTACTTGTTTCAAACATTACTTTCTTGTACAAAAATTAACAAGTTCATTTTATGCCACAATTTAATTTATATTTTCAAGCTATTTACCTCGTTAACTACTGCTTGAACTAAGCCATTTTCCCACTTATTAATATCATGAGCAGAACCACTTTTTGTCCGCTTTCCTTTAGACATCCTATGTCTTTAAAAAATCAATTTAATAAAACATGTGAATATTTTCGCACTCACTCCCGCCATCTTGGTTTCTATACAGAAGTTGTTTTCGTATCCAAGGGGAAGTGAGCTGAGACAGCAGTATTGATGTCCGCAGGGATTTAAAATTAAACCAACCAATGAAATACTTTCGTTAGATAAACCGTTGAAACATATTGAAATTTGATTGGCTAAAATGTAGCTCAACCAATCAAGATGGATCTTTATGGATTTGGAACGAACGTTAAATTGAAGCACTTTTTGCCAACTCACAGAACAAGCCTCGTGTTGTTTCCGTTCGTTGCTGAACTTTGTGTGATAAATTTGTACAGTTTTTGTTTAAAAAATATATCAAAATGCCTGTTGTTGGAAAAGAAAATACTCATAATCGCTTAAGGAACTTTAAAAATATGGGAAAAGACGATGTGAGTCGAGAGATTGCGCCTTTACTGCTCAAAACATTTTGACTTTAATTTCAAAATTTGTCTCTGAATCCCAATACTGGTATTGCTTTCTTGTGTATATTGCCAACAGAAATTGTCTTTTCTTCCTTTAGGAGTGCAGAAGAAGACGAAACGAAGTCACAATCGAACTAAGAAAGGTATGTCAATACATAAATCATCGTAAAATTAATTAATGAAGTTTATCTCAGTAGTCAGAGCTGTGAACGGCGAAATAATGGTCGCAGGTTCGAGTCTCATTCATGTCAGTCTATTGCTTTTCCTTTCTCAACTTTTTATACTTAAGCAACGGCTTGCTCAATTATTTGCTCAAAGTAGTGTTATTTTTAACGAAATAATATAAAATGTGTACATTCAAAATGTTAGCACTATTTTCCATCCAGCAAATTGACCTGACGTCATTTTCGGATAATGGAGAGGTGTTAAATGGCTATGTAACTAACCCAAATCCTACCCCTACTCTAACCCTAACTGCAACCCTAGCTCTTAACCCTAACCGAATTAATAAAAAAATCCAAAAAGAAACAACTTTAGAAATTCGATAAGGCAGTTTGCTGGATGGAAAATAGTGCTAACCATTCAAAATATTGCCACCCCCCCTTAATAATTTATTTATTTTTTAAAACCACTTTAATTTGGCACATAGTTAACTTGACAATATTGTACACAACATACATGGATAAATACATTGAACAAGAGTATGGAGAATAGTAACTATAGAAGGTGCCAAACGTTGGTGTTAACCAATGAAAAATCAATCTGATCTCACAATTAGGGTAAAAATCCCGTAATGGTCTAGGCTAATTTGGAAATGCATCTAGGTGTAATTCTAGTTTTGGCAAAGGCCAGCACAGTTGCTGTATTAATAATAACCATATCCATATACTCTAGTCTAAGCGTGATGATCAAATTTTGAAACGAAGGAATGTATCCAATGTGGAACCATTACAAGAAAATTCAGCAAATAATTCCCTGTCACTGTCACCTGCACAAATCTATCAAATCCTGTTATCAGCAGACAGTACACAGGATCAAATTTTTGCCGCCGTGCAAGCATCGAGGTATAATGTATATGGTAATCGTATAATGGTTGCTGTTTTGCATTTTCTACATTTTGCATTTTATGCATGCATGTAGTTCAATTACTGGGAACAGGGAAACACGATTGACAAATTATAATTTAAAATTTTAACAGGAAAATGTTGTCGAGAGAAAAAAATCCTCCAATAAATGACGTTATACAGTATGTACTGATTACAAAATATATTATTCGCAACATATTATTCTTTACCAAGTTTTATCCCTGCACTTGCAACTGTTTTGAGTTCAATTCGTATCTCTTTTCAGAGCTGGTCTTGTCCCAAAACTAGTTGAATGCTTGAAGACAAATGTGTAAGTTTTTGACAACCTTATATTTGTTTATAAACAATCTGTGTCAAATAAATTCTTTGTTAGAAAAATTGTGCATTTCTTTCATCCTGATCAGATCTGATATACAGTTTGAAGCAGCGTGGGCATTGACAAACATCGCTTCTGGAACATCTGACCAAACATGGATAGTTATAAATGCTGGTAAGCTTACTACAGTTATAGTGTCACAACAGTTGCACATGTTCAAGAGAGTGTTTCCTTATTTTGTATTAATGTAACATAATATATTCCAACTGTCTTAAAGGTGCTCTACCATATTTCATCCAACTATTGTCTTCACCCAATGAAAAAGTAAGAGAACAGGCAGTTTGGGCCATTGGCAACATTGCAGGTGTGTGAGGCAAACATACTTTTTATTTGGCATTGCTATCATTTAGCTCTGACTACCAAATACAGATCATAATCTAAAATTATTTTTTTATAATTATTAGGTGATGGACCAAAATTACGAGACAAAGTATTGACGCCAGAATACTGTGTTGTGCAAAAATTACTAGAATTAATGCAGAAACCTGCTTTGCAGGTAATAGTTGAGTTAGAATTTCTCAATTAGTTTTTCAGAGAGTTTCAGTTAATTAACTGATAGTTGTCACGATGCAATTATTATTTTTAACCTTTTGGCAGGCATCATATCTGCGAAATATCACATGGACTGTATCAAATCTTTGTCGAAACAAGAATCCACCTCCACCATTTGCTGCTGTTCAACAGGTCAGTCAAAAAAATTTGATACCAAAAGTTCCAAACAATTATTCTAATTTAATTTCATCACTCTTGATGCAATATATTATTATATTTTTCTAATTGAACTGCATATTATTATTCTTCATATTCAGCTCTTGCCAGCCTTGGCTTACCTGATTAACTATGATGACAATGAAGTAGTTGCTGATACATGCTGGGCACTTTCCTATCTCACAGATGGACCTAATGAGAAAATACAAGTAAGAAATATGTGTACTATAAATTACAACAAGGCTAACAATAACAGTCTCAATTTGTTCTAAAGACAATTAACCCAATAGTTAGGGCTCTGAGTTAGATTTACCTTTTGCAAACCAATCTTTGTTCAAATGTCTCAGATATTAAACTTTGATATATTCCCTACTATACAGGCAGTTATCAATGCAAATGTTATGCCAAAATTGATTTCATTGTTGGGTACAACACAGCTTAATATTCTGGTAAGTTCCATTTGGCAATGCTTCACACTATACATGGCAAAATAAGGTTCTCCCTTCTCAAATTCCTACAAACAGAAAATATAGAAAACAAATTACAATTTCAATGTTACAATCATGATATTTTCTACTTGTTACAGACACCAGCTTTGCGAGCAGTTGGTAATGTTGTCACAGGGAATGATAATCAAACACAGGTACATAAATATCTAGATAGTTTTGATATACCAGTTTACAGAGGTGTAAACTCCCTGACATTTCCCCTTGAATTACCCCCCCCCCCCTAAGCCTTGCATTCCCTCTGCCCCATCCATTGGCCCCTTTCCCTCAATACTTCTTATATCATGAATCTGGCCATAACTTGTGTTTTAGCATGTCTTGGACCTTGGAGCCTTGCAGCATTTTGGGGCTTTACTTACACACAAAAAGATGACACTAATCAAGGTACTGTATATGTGTAACTAACCTGAAACCAGTTCTACCAAGATTCTTCTTGGCTGTGCTACAGTACTTTCATTCTTCAAACTCAGAAGACTTGAACATCCAACTTTTCAACTTCTTCACAGGAAGCTGCTTGGGCACTCTCCAATATCACAGCGGGAAATGAAAATCAGATCCAGGTGAGATATATTACACTGGAAACCCAATAAATAAACCTCTCTCTTATCAAAGTCAACACCGTTCTTCACCTAGACACATTTTTTGGTCCCAACAAAATGGACGATGTGCAGTTGTTAAAAGTGATGACAGAGATACATTCTTTACCAATGATGATGTTCATCATCACCGGTTTTGATTTACTTTCACTTCACAGATGTTGATGAAGAAATTAGTCTTGAATTTTCTTATGGTCCTTGCCTTAAGCTAAAGTTACATATTATGTCTTTCAGGCTGTCATCCATGCTGGTTTGGTTCCTATAATTTTACAAATTATGGATCAGGGTGATTACAAAAGTCAAAAAGAGGCTGTGTGGGTGATCACTAATCTTACTTCAGGAAGTAGCTTAAAACAGGTGCATATCTCCCTTCATCATAATTGGTAGTTGAACACATCTGCTTCGGTTCTCGTTGATGGAAATGATGAATGAATAGTCCTGATTATTTAACATGAGGGTAAAATAACTACAATTCTCTGATCCATCAGCGACTGTAGTTGACCACCCTGTTCTGTGAGTTGTTGGCTACATAATGCAAAGTAATAATTTATTATGTGCTGTCTTTTTAGATTCAGTATCTTGTGGATAAGTGTAGAGCTATTCCATATTTGTGCAAGTTGCTAACGGTGAAGGAACCCAAGGTACGGAAGTTTGCATGTAGAAACTCTAATTTCCATGCGTCTTTCTGTAGTAAGTAAATTGTTGCTTACCTGTAAAGATCGAGACGCAAAACATGAACACTTATTCTCTTTTCCTTTCTACGTTGGTTCCCCATGTAGTCGACTTGCACTTTCATATACCTTCTTTTTTCAATATGTAATTTTCTTCATTCATTCATTCAGGTCATATTGGTCTTGCTAGATGCGTTCAACCACATCCTAAACGTAAGTTCTTCTCTTTGCTGGAATACAAAACGGAGACACAGTCGTTTAGTATGATAACAAATAACAGTTACTGATTTTCACTAATTTGGTTTGTTAGAAAAGCGACCATATGAATAGGCTTGACAATGTTACTTTGAGAATTGAAGAGTGTGGAGGTATGAATAGTATATTATACACTTTATTTAATATTATATATTTGATTCATGCCCGTCTCTCGTGCAAGAACTGTGTTCCGTGCTTGAAACAAATCTATTACTTCAGATCACGTTTTGAGAATCTTTAATGTTTTAGGTCTTGATAAAATCGAGAATTTACAGCAGCACGAAAATGAGCAAGTCTTTCAAGCAGCGCAGAATGTTATCGATAAATATTTTCAAACTGAGGTAACAGTGATTAGATATCCCATAAGGTGCACATCTTAGAACAGTAGATCAGTATAAACTATAAGGCCCTGTTTACACTATACCGGATTCGCTGGTCACGACATCTTTTGCCGTTACGGAGCAATGGTTAGTAGCAAATGCTTATTAGTTTGACAGAATTGGCATGTTTATTTGGGTCTCTGAGATTAAAAATCCTCACAGCCTTTCGATACCTACAAAATTTGACCCACTCCGATAGCAATCCGGTATAGTGTAAACGGGGCCGACTTTAGTCCATGGTTTTCCTTGTGTACGTTGTAACCACTGGATGAATAAGGGATGAACCTTACTGGACCTCACGAGAGAACCCGATGCTTACCCAGTATAAATGAAGTTTAGTTTTACATAAAATGTAACGATTGTTTTACTTACAGGATGATGATGTGACTGTTGCTCCACAAAACGGTGACGATGGTTCCAACATGTTCCAATTTGGACAACCAACCATGCCACAGACTGGGTTCCACTTCTAACAAAAGATCTCTGGGGGAAAAAGAACTATATACCCTAAAAGAACTAATTTATTGTTCGCTAGAATATTCTTGTAAATAGTAAAAAAATGAAATTAGTGGATCATTCGTTTCTGTACAAACCAAAAGTACAATTTATATTATAGAATATTACGATAAATTACAATATTGTTGCAATTCACTTTAATCTGGAGATTAGAATCATGAGTTAATACTGATACCAATCTCGTACTCGGGGTACGAGATTGTACTGATACGAGAATACAATCTCGTTCCCCGAGCCTGCGATCCTCGGGAAGGAAACGAAGGCTCTGGGATAATCCGTTGCCGAAAGCCAGGAATTCTGGCTAAGATTGAACTGCACATTCCATATCAACGGCCAATCAGATTCCTCCCTGAAACGGATTATCCCAGAGCCTTCGTTTCCTTCCCAAGGACCCGCAGGCTCGGGGAACGAGAATCACGACTCGGTCGAACGCGCGTAAGAAGGGCTCTGGGTACGAGAATACTAAAGAACTCCGACTAATCCTCGTTCCCAGGCTCCTCCCTCTATGGGGACGGGATCCTTCCTGAACGGTTTCCATATTTTTCACTTCTCACCCGCTCTCCTCCAAGGCGGGGACATTCAGGCTTGAGATCGAGGTTATTTTGGAGACACCCAAATAGCAACCTTGTCTCCTACATTCGTAAGTTAGAACTGTGGACGTTATTGAAATTCTCATCCCGAACTGGTACTGTAGAATGGTAGGTTTTACCATCCTTTCACATCATCTCAAGTCTCTCCCCAAGAACAGATGAATTGTACAAAAATTTGCTCGACTTTTCGCCGAACACAGCCAACTGTACATATTCCCATGTTGAACAGATGGGACCAAGCAAATTTGAGTACGATTCCATACGATTTGGGATTTATCCGGACTCGTACCTGATACCCAGGGTTTTCACTTCCGCTACTCCCCTCCCCCCGGAACTCACTGCAGCGGGGGTAGCGGAAGCCCGAGTATCAGATTGACTCGTAAGAACGTATTTTTTCTCCACTGGCACTGCGGTTTCCTTTTCGGTTTCTTTTACCCTGGATTCCAGAGCCTTCGACAGTAAATAATAAATTGAAACGTCGCGAAAGCTCTGGTTCAACGGGAAGATTCTTTGATTAAACCGCGCCAATCACAAAACAGAATCTGTACTAAAACCACTAATTCTGTTTTGTGATTGGCGCGGTTTAATCAAAGAATCTTCCCGTTGAACCAGAGCCTTCGCGACGTTTCAATTTATTATTTGCTGTCGAAGGCTCTGGAATCCAGGGTAAGTAATAGGTTGTTGCATCATAAATACTTGGAGCAGACTCAATCTCGTACGAGATTGGAGGAGACTATATCAGGTTCTGTTTTACTAGGGTTACCACAATGTACAACATAACAGTTTGCTATAATAATATAAATAACTTTGTTTTCGATGTTCTCTTTCACTTTAAAAAACAAAACTTAGTTCCCTCGAGAGAAAAGGTCAGGAAAGTTTTGGATAAGTATGCGAATATAAAGATTGTAGTAAGAATTGCATGCAGTGTTTTCCACCAGTGTTTTGCTATTATGAATAGTCACCAGGCAATAAGGTTATTAGCACTTTCAAGACTAATTCCAAGGGTCAGTTTCGTCATATACTGTAAGGTTTACTCCACTTATACACTTTACGACTATGTTCAGTTTACCATGTTTGTTTAATACTCTCACTTCTTCATGGATTTTCTGATCAAGGCCAGTCGCTGAAATGAACCAAACGTAAAAAATAAGCACTATCATGGTGGTCGAACAGCAGTTAGCAGAATAAGTAGAGAAGAAATATTACCTGTTTGTGTGCTTCAGTTGAGCCCAATTTTTTCGACTGTTTGAAGTCTTCAGTTCCATAACCGGGAACCCACATGTTCCAATTTCGCTCTGAAAGATACAGGTATTTACGTGAGCTTGTCAACATTGCACATTGTCATTGATTACAAACAGGACAAAAATAATCCAAATGAAAAACAAATTACCAAATGAAAAATAGATTTTACCTAGATGCGTCTGAATATCTCGAACTTCCAAAACATTTGATTTGCGATGTTTGGCAATTTGACATGAAGAATTAACAACACTTTCGATAAAATCATCAGCAATTTGTAGTAGGATCTAAAAAATTGAAGATATACAAGATCTTTGTTTTCTAATGATCTTCCGAGATTACAAGATAAAAAGTTTATAAATGAACGACATACATCTTCAACATCTTCATCCAGCGTTGCTCGAGGATCAATTTCCTGTAAGAGTTCTTGAAGTCTCTTTCTTGACAAGACTGTCTGAGGCTCTGTATGAGAATGGACCAAGAATAAGTTGATAAGTTTTGCATTCCTGTGATACATACAGCACATATCACAGGAACCCCAGGTTATATAGTTGTTTATATTTTAGCCCATATAGCATTAGGCGGCCCGCGCGCCTGCTCTTAGGGTTAGTAATCCTAAGAACAGGTGTGAAGGTGGCCCAATACTATGTGGGTTAAATATATAAACAACTATATAACCTAACCTGAGGTCAACCACCTTGCAGTGTATTTTGATTCCCTGCAAAAACGTAGTCAACTCAAAACCTTATATTGCGAGGCTACAGATTGCTCTTGCATGCCATAATATTAGTCCATGCAACAGGACTGCATATTGCACTGCATATTAACAGCACATTTTCCTGCTGTACTATCACTACTATGTATTACCATCACACTTTTATGCACAGTCTCTGCCCCCTGGTCCTGATAGCACTGCCTTAATTAATTAATAAATCAATTCAATTGAGCAAGACAAGGGGCTATTTAAATACAGTATCTTCTCTCACCCTGGCTTCCTTGAGCCATCTTTGGTGCAGCCGAGATGGGAGCTTTCAAGCTCTCATTACTTCCACTCTGTGGTACAAGTGTAGCACCAGAAGCAGCACTTTTTACTGCTGCAGCTTGGACCAAAGTTGGCTTGCCTTGCGGTGTTGTTGCAGACGTAACCTGGATCACCATTGGAGTTCCTTGGGCTGTCTGTTGTATTGCGATGCCATGCGGAGCTATGGGTCGTTGGCCAATTGCATGTTTCTGAGGAATGTTGACCGCAGTAAGGACACGACCGGCTGCTGCTTGGTGGCCTGGAATGGATGCCACCATCTGCACAGGAGAATGACCAGCTAAAAAGTGAATTATTCTTTACAGGTAATTAACTTGCATAGTTTAAAAAAAAATGCAATAATTCCAAAATTGCAAAGCAAGATTTAGTCATCATTCATCAATAAGACAGCTCTATCAAATTTTTTTTTAGTATTAACACGAGCCCATGTATTACCAGGGTGCGATCATTCAAGATTTCTAGTCGTACCTGACTGGTACGCCAATGGTTGTTGCCGCGTACTTGCGCTAGAACAAACTCAGTACTCAATGCTCAATGTGTACTTAGTCTTTAAAAATAAGGTTCATAAAGTACAGGTTTCTGAAAAGTATGTTCAGACTATGAGATAACAAACGGAGTTTTGCTATTTAAAAAGGGAGTTTTGCTATTTGAAACCGGAGGTTTGCTATTTGAAAAGGGAGTTTTGCTATTTGAAAAGGGAGGTTTGCTATTTGAAAAGGGAGGTTTGCTATTTGAAAAGGGAGTTTTGCTATTTGAAAAGGGATGTTTGCTATTTGAAAAGGGAGGTTTGCTATTTAAAAAGGGTGTTTTGCTATTTGAAAAGGGTGTTTTGCTATTTGAAAAGGGAGTTTTGCTATTTGAAAAGCGAGGTTTGCTATTTGAAAAGGGAGTTTTGCTATTTGAAAAGGGAGTTTTGCTATTTGAAAAGGGTGTTTTGCTATTTGAAAAGGGTGTTTTGCCATTTGAAAAGGGAGTTCTGCTATTTGAATAAGGAGTTCTGCTATTTTAAAAGGGAGTTCTGCTTGATTTCAAACAACGACTCCAACGTTTCTTAGTGCCATCAGTGCAATCGTGTTTCATGCCAAGACATCTCAGACACATGATATACCAACTAAATTACGGTATTGAATACCTTGGACTTGGAAAGGTCATGTGCTACCAGAAAAAAATAAGTACGCAGATAGCAATAGTTTCGCGTACCTACGTGGTACGTGGTTGAAAACAAAGAAGTACCAGACAGTAATATTGGCGTACCTCCGGTACGTAAGTACGCAAATTATCGCACCCTGCAGTGTGACTGGGCCTTAGTTTAGTTTCTTTTATCATCAGGTTTTTGGGCAGTGTTGGTTGAAAATGGAATGTCACATCATTCTTTGGTTGCTCTGTTGTATGCATTTATTAATTCTTGTAATAAGGTAAAAGTTAAAGCTATCTTTTGTAGGATTTTGGTTATCTCATTCAATAGACAATTCCAGCTAAAGACTAAATTTTGATCTAGGCAAGAAGAACAAAATCCATCACCACAGCTAGAAAGAGCATGTTAAAATTAGTAAAATTGCAAAGTTTGACCGCGAAATGTTGTAAAATACGGAAAATATAGCCCTGTGAAATTTGCAAATTTTCTAATAATTTCTATTACGTGCGGGAAAATGCACCACATTTGGGCGGAAAGTGGTGCATTTTCCCATGCGTAATACAATTAACAACCATTGATTTTGGTAGAGTGTTGGATTAGCAAACCAAAGGTTGCGGGTTTGAATCCCACTGCGGTCAAGCAGATGCTCGAGATCTGAGACAACACCACAAAGATATACAGGGTATCCCCCCAAAAAGTGACACTATAGAAATGATCCTATTGTTATAATTTGAATGCCCTAGCATTAAGTTGATCCCACAGGTGCATAAACTTCTGCTTCTGGAATTTAAAATAAAAAAGCAAACCGTTTATTAGTGTAATAGTTTTGCTTGACTTGGGCGTTAAAATATTTGGACAAAGCGAAAACGTTTTAAAATGCTTAAATGTAAATACAAGTTCATTAAATTCCCAGGCGTGTAATAAACAATGAGATAATTTCTATAGTGTCACTTTTTTGGGGGACACCCTTTATAGTATCTTCACCTGACTGACCTGAGTGTATATAACACCAGAAACAAAAATTCATGATTTTAACACATTGGGCACCAGAGCTCTCCCCTTGTCAAATAAAATTGTCTGGCGTTAGACGGAGTAAAATGATGAAGTATTGGGTGCATTAGCTGGGCTCAATGCAACTTAATGGGTTAAAATCAAATCTAAAGGCAATCCTTTCATGTAAACTGCAGTTTTTGTCAAATGTTGCAGCGTTTTTATCCTTTGACAGAATTCGCCAGTTGGTTTTAAGATGAAAGCATCTGTTCTGGCTTCCAATATCTACATTTTGATCAATCAAATTCCAGGTAATTTAATTTTGTTAACTTAAGGCAGTTCTCCAGTTCTGTGTGTCTGTAAAATATACTGTGTTTCATATTAATGATATCTTTATCTTATAGGAAGTGGTGCATACAAAATCTTTCATCCTTTACTCTTCCAAAAAGCTGTTGATATTTTACAATGTTGGCCTGGAAAAGGTTAATGGCAATGAAAAATTAACCCATGTAGCACTAGTACTCTCCCCTTGACAAGTAAAATTGTCTAGCGTTAGACAGAGTAAGATGATAAAGTATGGAGCACTAAGGTGCAATGCAACTCAACGGGTTAACTAGATAGTAGATACACACTGGCACTCAGTGGTACAGTATGATCATACTGCCCACCCTAGCTCCCCTTCGCAAGTGAAATTGTCTGGCATTAGACCTATCAAGTGATTCAATAAATGCGTTCATAATTTAAGCATTAATCTTTGATACAAGAAACATTGATGAAGTGTAATGTACGGATATTTGCAACAGCTTATTTTCCCATATTGAATATAGAAGATTTGAAAGGTAAACGCAAGAAAACCAAGAAAACAAACGGTCTTTCAAACCGAAGAAGAAAAACCAGGCGTGTTAATGGTAATTTTCCTTACGCACTGACTCGCACTGTTGCAACGACTTTTCTTACTGTATATATGTGTCAGTCTTTGGTGCTTGTATATGTTCAGTTATGTATATTTAGTGATGTTTTGTAGGTCAAAATGCTGCCAATGAAACCACCAGTGACGATGATTCTGAAGATGATGACAGTGATGATGATGGTGTTTCAAGTTCTTTTAATGAAGAGAAAATTACTTTGGAAGTCAGAGACAGTATGGTTAAACTTATTGTGGTAAGTGGTGGTGGTTGTAATGATGGTGGTGATGGTAGTGGTGGTGATAGTAATGGTGGTGGTGGAGGTGGTGGTAATGATGGTGATGATGATTACTGCATGATGGTGGTGGTAATGGTGGTAGTGATGCTAATGGTTGTAGTGATTGTGATAATGGTGATGATAATGATGGTAGTGATGATGGTCTCATTGGTGGTGGTAGTAGTGATGGTGATGATGATGGTGGTGAGAATGATGATCAGTGGTGGTGATAATAGTGATGGTGATGATGGCAGTATTGATGGTGATCATGATGGCAGTGATGGTGTTGATGGTTGTGAAAATGATGATCAGTGGTGGTGATGATGGTAAATGTACTGGATATATTTTCTTCTGTTATTCCAGGATCTGACAAAATACCTCCAGTCAAAATCACTGAAAGACTCCAAAGAAACTCTGGAACACATTATTTCTTTACTTGTGGATCTCACAAGGATAGAACCTTCAGTTGTTGAAGAATTTGAGACCAGCGAGACAAGGTATCTCTTATATCAATGCAATATCAATACAATACGATATCAATAGCATACTTTATGGTCTGACTACAATTGCCTCTTACTTTCTCAATATATTTTACTGCAGAATGACATCAAGTTCAAAGAAATCGCTCAGTGCACTCGTTTATAGGGTGAGTTGACAAAAGGAATCGTCTTTAGACCGAAGCAGGTGTTAAACTGTGGCAGGATCAGCAAGGGCCGAGAGATTCTAGGGGTTAGAGAGATTCTAGGGGGGGGGGGTAACCCACCTAACACTCCCTCCCCACCACCAGTAAATCCGCTCATGAGGATCAACCTACTAGATTAGCTGCACTATATTCCTTGTCTGAAGAGTCTGATTACCCTTCAGTATCTTATGTGTATGTCACTTTCAGGCTCTACAAATTATTGCTTTACCTCTACATGGAGAGGTTGGACACAGTCTGCGACAGGTATGATGTATTTTACGATTCCTAAGTGACACTGACTGGACTAATTTCATCCAGCTTCTCAAGTAGAAGGGATGAAAAAGTCATTATTTTATAACTCATTCTTTTTTACTGTTTTCTCTCATTTCTGTAGATCTTCAGACATCTTCTTTGCAACATTATGTCGACCTATAAGAACGCATCTTCAGCGTCCAGTTCTTCAATTTCTCAAGCGAAACAAGTTGTAAGGGACAATGCTGTTAACTTTACTTGGTGAGTATTTTATACCAAGTGCAAACGAATTTATCCGAGTGCAAACGAATAAAGGGCCTTGAAACTTTGAAGTGGTTATAATCTTTCTAGGCTGAGTTCAGACCCAAACTTATAACCACGAGAGCTTTATATTGTAGAATATACAGTACTACCTACAGTACACTAGACCACCACGTTTGAGATATCTTTTCACGTAGTTCAGACACAAACCACGACAGCTTATTGTAGAATACTACAGTACCTACACTGGACCACCACGTTTGAGATATCTTTGTCAGGTAGTTCAGACATAAACCACGACAGCTTATTGTAGAATACTACCTACACTGGATCACCACGTTTAAGATATCTTTTTCAGGTAGTTCAGACACAAACCACGACAGCTTAGTGTAGAATACTACCTACACTGGACCACTACGTTTGAGAGATCTTTTTCAGGTAGTTCAGACACAAACCACGACAGCTTATTGTAGAATACTACCTACACTGGACCACCACGTTTAGATATCTTTTTCAGATAGTTCAGACACAAACCACGACAGCTTAGTGTAGAATACTACTGGACCACAACGTTTAAGAGATCTTTGTCAGGTAGTTCAGACACAAACCACAACAGCTTATTGTAGAGTACTATACCTACACCGCGTGGATCCGCTATGTTTGGGAATCATACCTGAGTACATTTTTTTTTAAGTCACATCGTGGAGGAAAATGAAGAAGAAGCGTTGCCTGCTGTAAGAGTCCTCGTTCAACATTTATGTATGAAGGTGCCAGATCAAGCCGAGTTTAGAAATTCTGTAGGAAGGGTAATGTTATTTTATTCTATTGTATTCGAGATTGTCGTGCACCGAAATTGAAGTTCATCACAATATGTCGCATCATAACAGTCCTAGTCATGGTTTCTGACTATAAAGTACAACTGTTTTTGGCAAACCTTATAGCCAGGGTTTGTCTTTCATTGTTTTGAAATCGAGAGATCTATTCTCCATTCCTATTCTTATTTTATTCTTGATGAATTGTTAATTTCAGGCTATAACTGTAATCCTGGAATGCTTTTCTAATGAGAGTCTGGCTGACATTGTAGCATGGATTACCAAGTACTCGAAAAATTCAAAGGTATAGAACTGTTTCTTACAATGGAAATTTAAGTACACTGCACGGCTGATACGAATATTCATTATTTCAGATAGGTTATCGGGTTTTCGCACTGGATTTGATTTTGAAAATTCTAACAAATACACAAGGTATACATTTTATTTTTCGTCTGTCTGCATAACAGTAACATAAACTGAACTACCTTAAACTGACTTTATTTAGCACAACATCAGTCGAGATTTTCTTATCTGGATTTACTCCAACTCATTGTGTCGAGGTGTTCTGATAAGGCTCCAACGTAAGTCCATGTATATATTAGTCTTTTTACCAATATAAGTAAAGTTAGTTTGGTTTAGGTTTCCTCTTGTAGTAACAGTGTAACCAAGTAGTTTCCTCCTGGAGTAACACTGGACCGATATAAGCATGGCTAGTACTGATTCTCTAGGAAGAAGAGTTTAGAACTGATACCCAATTACTGCATGTATGAATGTAGGTCAAGTATACACTAACGAACTATACTCATTACATAAAACATTAGCACAGTGTAAGACTGTGTAATACATTTTTTCTTTTCAGAGTACGTGCGAAAGCTCTGTGCCACCTAGCACAATGTATTTGTTCGGCGAACGACGTAATTACGGCAGCTGTAAAGAAACTTTTAACAATGCCACTTACCAATGGAAGCATGGAAGAACACACAACGCCTGGGTTGGCTGCGCAAGAAGGTACTAAACAATGCGATGCGTAAAGTCCTGGATTCCTAGAGATGTTGGTGACAGTGTGATTATTAGCCAAGTACCCGTGTCTTTGACCTCTGTGACCTGGGTTTAAAACCACGGTCAAACAAGGATAAGAGTTGAGAAGCGAGAGTTTACATGAGAGTTTTCTCAACTCTCATGCCCCGGTCAAACGAGAACAAGAGTTGCATGAGAGTTGAGAAGCGAGAGTTTGCATGAGAGTTTTCTCAACTCTCATGTCCTGGTCAAACGAGAACAAGAGTTGCATGCGAGTTGATGAGAGTTGAGAAGCGAGAGTTTGCATGAGAGTTGAGATGCCAGTGTTTGCATGAGAGTTGAGAAGCGAGAGTTTGCGTAAGAGTTATAATGACAGTTGAATGGATATTACCGGTCAAAAACTCTCATCAACTCTCATCAAAATTTGAACCAGCTCAAACTTGATGAGAGTGCATGACAGTTGGCGGTCAAACACGAGCAAGAGTTGCAACTCTCAGAAACTCTTATCCTCATTTGCCCGGTGCTTCATACCCGAAATTTCGTTCATTTCAGCCTCTCAAGATCAAACTGTGTCGGCGATGATCAGACGTAGAGTATCAGATGGAAAAGTCGTCGTACGAAAAGCTGCTATTCAGGTGTGTAGGATGTACACAGGGTTTATTGCTATTAAAGAAAGTATCGTGAAAGTATTCTTGAACTGTCTTTGCCAAGTAGTGCCAATAAAATGAACAAGCTTTCGTTGATAGGAATGCAACTACCTGCAGTCCTTGAAACTCAGGTCGGCATTCGGCAACGCCGACCTAAATGCCGACCTGCAAAGCGATATATGTAGATTTAGGTCGGCAAAATTTTGCCGACCTACTTTCAAATACGTCTCGGCATTTTTTCCGCGAACGCATCTTTCACATACGCATTTTCAACGAGCTTGGGTAGTAGTCACATTGCAGTTTCATTGTTGAAAACTTTGAAAAGTAAACATACGAGTTAAAATCGTTGCGCTTCAAGATTTAAGCGAAAGTAGGCATGGTAATAAAGTAATCACAACATGCATGCACTGTTCGATTGGAGTTCATACATTTTGTTTGTTGTTTTGTTTGCTATATTGGCATTGATTGCAATTAATTGCTGTTTATAAATACACATATTTGCAGCAAGCAAATTAAATTTTCATTTGGATATTTTCTATTTGTTTGAAAATATTTGCCGACCTAGGTTGAGAATTATCGCTTTTAGATCGGCAATTTTTTGCCGACCTGAAATTTTGGGAGTTTCAAGGACTGCTACCTGAAAATGTATAAGGAGAATTTTTTTATATATTTTCAGGTAGTTGCATGCCTTCCGACGAAAGCTTGTTCATGAAAGTGTTGCCGTTAACTATTTCATTTCTTTAGGTTCTTGAGAGCATAATAAGAATGAATAGTGCCACACTATGTAAAAAGGTAAAAAGTGCTAAACCAGTTTAGAACTCGGTCAATTTGTTAACTTGCAGAAAATTTTGGGAGATTAAACTACTACACTTTTCATATTTGGTCTATTCAGCAACCCTAGTCTGTTACTTGCCACAAACATAAGGATCGTCGCATTGTCATTCTTTTGCGCTCTAATTTTTTTAAATTACTTAATTACCTAATTTTTAAAAATTACTTTAAATTTTAAATATACTCGCAGAAAATGTTACATATTTTTAGTTGTTAGATAAAAATATTTTCGCCCTGTGGAACTCGCATCGCAGTTTTCAGAACTCCATTGAATGAATTTTATGTGTGGTTTTGTCTTAGGATTTGGACACACTCCATGACAGGACGATGGACCCAGCATTGTCAGTGCGCAAACAAGCGATGGTATCCATAACTGCTTTGTTAACTGAGAATCCAGATTCATCCCTATTGCACGGGTAAGAATAGCATGCTTCAGAATTGGACCTCGTGGTAAATCCATCTCTGTTATTTGTAATATATTTACGATCTCTGTTATTTGTAATATATAAATATGTTTTATATTTCTGTAGTATCTGGCTGGACGCCATCTTGCCTCTGGTGGTAGATCGTGAGACAACAGCACAGGAGAAATGCTTGAGTGTGCTGGAGGAAATTATTTTGCACCATATTGCTCTGGAGAGAGGAACACAGAATGAAGATCAAGTGTTGTCTTGGAAGTTGTTACAGTTGATAGCAGGGATATCTGGGCAGGAGTTAAGGTACGATGATGGTGGTGGTGATGATGGTGGTGATGATGGTAGTGTTGTTGATGATGGTGATAGTGGTGGTGATGGTAGCGGTGGCGATGGTAGTGGTGATAGTGATAATGTTGATGATGGTGGTGATAATGGTGATAGTAGTAATGGTGGTAATGATGATGGTGTTGTTGTTGATGATGGTGGGAATTGGTATGGTTGTGATGGTGGTGATCGTGATGGTGATGGTGGTGGTGATGGTAGTGACGATGGTTATGATGGTGACAGTGGTGATGGTGATAGTAGTGATGATGGTGGTGATGATGGTGGTGATCGTGATGGTAGTGATGATGGTGGTGATGATGGTGGTGATCGTGATGGTAGTGATGATGGTTATGATGGTGACAGTGGTGATGGTGGTGGTGGTGGTGCCAATGACAGTAATGGCTTGATGATAATGATGATATCCTTCTTCAATCCTCAATTCAGGAATAAGAACTTTCTTTACATGATGTGTTTTCCTTTCCAGACATTATTTTCAGAAGGTTTGTTATCACTGGGCGAAGCAAGGAAAGTTTACTCCAGCCAAAATCAAAGCAATCATGAGTCATACAATAAACGCAAATGCTTCAGCTGCGTGGCTATTGCTGTCTGAAATATCTGCATTCAAACCAAAGTTGGACCACAAGAAGATTATCGAGTGCTGTAATGAATATATATCTGAGGGTTAGTATTGATCACTATTGTAAACTAGCAAAGGTGCTTTACGGTTACCTCGATTTTTGCAGGATGCAGTTGATAATTTCTTCTCAATCACACGTACGAAAATGCTTTTAATATTACTGTGCCAAAAAACAGCTTCCTGTAACACTGGATCAATAAGAGATGGTCCTTCCTGAACAGTTTAGAACTGATAGAGCTATCCAGTATAAATAAAATTAGTTCAGTTTAGGTTTCCTCTTGTAGTAACACTGGATCAATAAGAGATGATCCTTACTGGACCTCTAGTGAGAACAGTTTAGAACTGATAGAGCTATCCAGTATAAATAAAGTTAGTTTAGTTTCGGTTTCCTCTTGTAGTAACACTGGATCAATAAGAGATGATCCTTACTGGACCTCTAGTGAGAACAGTTTAAAACTGATAGAGCTATCCAGTATAAATAAAGTTAGTTTAGTTTCGGTTTCCTCTTGTAGTAACACTGGATCAATAAGAGATGACCCGCACTGGACCTTTAGGGAGAACGGTTTAAAACTGATAAAGCTATCCAGTTAGGAACATTGCCTTTGTGCATAAAAATATTATGCTATTCTATTTTTTAGGCAATGAAGAGTTGTTATGCCGTGTTCTTAAAGTGATTGAAAATATTGCTGCTGATATTCCTGTTGATATTAAAGAGGATTTAACAGGTATAATCCCTTACGTTTAGATTTCAGTTGCATCAAGCAGTATTTTCCTGCCAGTAGAATAAATATGACAAAAACTGTATATTTTTGTAGACAAATTACAAGGACAGTTGACAACATTCAAATGTTCTCCTGATGTCATTGTTGGAAGCATGAATGCTCTTTTTAAGGTATTTTTAATATTTTTGAAAACATAATATACAATGTTTAGGACATTTTTCAGTAAATAACATTACTCAATTATATCTGTTGCTTTAGCTTTGTGATTCTCTGTCTGAAGGCAATGTAAGTTTGTTGTCAATTTGAGAAATTGTTTCCTATTGTTACTTTCTTTGCTTGTCTTTAATGATATATTATTTCTTTGTGTAGAAACAGATTGATACGTGGTGTGCCGACTTGTTGAAAACATCCGAGACATATTTGTCGGGAGTCGTATTGAACCCTGACTCGGGTAAAAAGATTTTATTTAATTGCTCAAAACAATACCACAGAATGTAGTACAATGTAATATTGTTGAAGGGACCTGTATATGAAAATTTCCAGTGGAATTTTTTATACAGATCTAACGAATTTTTTATACAGATCTAACGAGGTACAGTTACAAAAAATGCTACTATAGACCCATTGCACTGACGTCGCAAATCCTTAGAGTGTCCTCCAGATGCTCCCTAACAATATCTGTTCGGGTACAACAACCACATACAGCGCAAAAATTAACCATTTTACAAAATTATTATAAAGTTTTACAAAATTAGCTTTGTTTACAAAAGTTATATTATGCATAGATTGCTAATTATTTGTCTTCCAGATGCATCTTCACCGGCGCTGTGACGTCATGTGCAATGGGTCCATAGGCCTTCTGGTGTGAATCGAAGCTGCAGCCCTGCAATTCCAGTACAGCGCTCTAACCAACTGAGCTACAGAGAGACAGTTGTCAAGCTCTAACCAACTGAGCTACAGAGAGACAGTTGTCAAGCTCTAACCATCTGAGCTACAGAGAGACAGTTGTGGAGCTCTAACCAACTGCGCTACAGAGAGACAGTTGTCGAGCTCTAACCAACTGAGCTACAGAGAAACAGTTGTCGAGCTCTAACCACAAGTTCATGTATAAATACTGAGGTGATGTCAGTGTATGGGTAAATATCAGCTCGACAACTGTCTCTCTGTAGCTATGGTATACAGTACTGTACAGTTCAATACATAGATAATGTTTTTTAAGGCAATCAAGTCGACGAAGAAGCAATTGTCAAACATTTATTTACAATTGGAGAAGTTGCTTTGGTATGTTTTGTAGTGTCAACTGACGTCCATAGAAGATATGGTATACTGTACTGCACTACGTTCTAACAAAAACAACCGGTATCTTAATACATATTTTGTTTACTAGTTGTGTCCCAGAAATACAAACAAAAGACTGTATTTAGTTGTTCAATCTATGATCATAACTCCGCCTCAGGAAAATGGTATGCGATTCTCTGTATTACGATTTTTTGTTTGAGAAACTGACACAGACCTGTCAGTCTGCCATCTCATAGCCTGTTTTGCAGACTGAGTTAGGTCAATGGACACATGTTAGCAGTCCTCGCATCGTTTTCTATAATTTTTTTTGGTAGCTTCAGCAAAATCTGCTCCAGTATCTTTGCAAAGATGTTCTTTATCTCTCTCACCAACAGTAAAAGCACACGCTTTTATCACTCTTGGTAGGTTATAAAATTACCTACATTGGTTTTACTGTAATTCCATCTATATCCACTGTTGTTACTTCATCACCACCATTATCACCACTATCATTGTCACCACCATCGTCATCAATATCATCACCACCATCATCACCAATATTATCAACCATCATCATCGCCACCACTATCACCATCATCAACCACCACCATCATCATCACCACCATCATCATCACCACCATTATTATCACCAGTCACCACCACATTATCATCATCATCGCCACCACCATTATCAACCAACATCACCCATCACCATCATCACCATGACCAACATCAATTTAAACAACAGTACCTCTATGCAAAACACCAATTGATCCACCACATTATGTAGGTAAACTGTGTTTACAAAATGAAATGCTTGCCAAAGACTGCATTGCTGCTCTGACGAAGGAACTGGAGACCTCGCAAGATCCTGCTGTCAGGAACAACATTACTGTCGTTCTTTGTGATCTGTGCGTAAGGTACGAACACTTGAACTGAACTAACTCAAGAGCCGAGACTTACTTTAAACTGGATCTCAACTGTTCTCCCTAGAGCTTCAGTAAGGATTTTCCTTTACTGATTGAAACTGAAGTAGCCGTAGAACACTTGCGGTACTGGTGGAGTCAAACTTGATTCTGACGATGAACAACTGCATATTGCAGAATCACATCTGTGATAACAGCTTGAAAGATGGAATCTTTGTCACACAGAAGAGTGTTTCACGGGGTGTTTTTTCTTCATTTGCTTAGGTACACAAATCTTGTTGATCGTTATATTCCAAACATTGCAAGAGGACTGAGAGATAAAGAACCTCTTATACGAAGACAAACTTTGACTTTGCTTACACATTTGCTGCAGGTATGCACTTCTAATAAACTAAACTATACTGTAATTTTATTTATACTGGATAGCTCTATCAGTTTTGAACTACTCTCCCCAGAGACACAGTAAGGATTATCTCTTATTGATCCAGTGTTACTACAGAAGGAAACGTAAACTAAACTAACTTTATTTATACTCGATAGTTCTATCAGTTCTAAACTGTTCTTCCTAGAGGTCCAGTAAGGATCATCTCTTACTGATTCAGTTTACTACAGGAGGAAACCTAAACTAAACTAACTTTATTTATACCGGATACTCTATCAGTTCTAAGCTATTGGATCATCACTCAGTGTTACTACAGGAGGATTAAACCTAAACTAAACTAACTTTATTTATACCGGTACTCTATCAGTTCTGAACTATTCTTCCAGTGTTACTACAGAAGGAAACCAAAGCTACACTAACAGTAACTTTATTTTAATATACTATTAACTTGATCAGTTCTAAACTGTTCTTCCTGAAGGCAGTGTAGTCCAGAAAGGGCTGGAAGCACTCTTCTCACATAAAGCTTCTACCTTAACAGGAAGACTATGTGAAATGGAAAGGTTCCTTGTTCTTTCGGTTTGTCACAGCTTTGGTTGACGAAGATATACAGATCAGGAAGTTCGGTAAGAGAGTTATGTATTAGTAATATAACACTTTTGAAGTTCTGTTGTTTTAATGTTTTATTTTTCATTTCTAGCTGATTTCTGCCTGGTTCATTTGCTGTTGTCCAGGCATCCTGGCATGTTTCATCAGCACTTCATCGAAGCTATTTTCCATTTTAATGCTTTTGATAAACATAAAGGTTTGAGAAATTCTATAGCTGCATTTAATAGAGTACTATCGTGCAGCAAATGTGGTCAATCTGCTGTTATGAGAGTGAAAAAATAATGTTGATGGAAAGCTGTGTATCCTTCTTTTAGTGTATAACCAGTTTTATCAAACGGACAAGGAAAAGGAACTGTTCTCATTGAAAGGCCAGGCTAAAGCAAGGTAAATCGTGATCGGTAAACATCGTTTTCAAACGAGCAGTCCACTATTTCGTTTCCTGTTTCCTCCTGTGGTAACATTTTCGTCTCCATATTCGCAATTCTCTTATCCATATTCGCCATTCTCTTCTCCATATTCGCCAAAGTTTTCGTTATTTCTCCACATGACTATACATGAGTGGCATTTGAGCTTTCGGAATTCGCACTGTTCACTTTTATGGTGAATGAGATCGCGCTTTATTAATATTTCTTCGTACTCTAGTAAACGAATGGCCATCTACAAGTTTCTTCTTGAACACACCACTGATGAACAACGATTTAACTTGACTGGAAAACTTTGCCAAGAGGTAATGATCAAAGATAGTAGTAAAATTTAGTTTACTCGATTGTATGTTTCAAGCGCTGGTCAAACGAGAGTGAGAGTTGATGAGAGTTGAGAAGCGAGAGTTTACATGAGAGTTGATGAGAGTTGATGAGAGTTGAGAAGCAAGAGTTTACATGAGAGTTGATGAGAGTTGAGAAGCAAGAGTTTGCATGAGAGTTGATGAGAGTTGAGAAACGAGAGTTTGCATGAGAGTTGACGAGATTTGAGAAGCGAGAGTTTGCATGAGAG